GGGGGGGGGTATAAAGTAGTAACACGAGGAAAGATGGAGGAGGAGGAGAAGAGGAAGAGGAGGAGGAGAAGAATACACGATGGAGGTTATAGACTCGGCTGTACATCCGAAGAGTGTAGGTCAAGCATGGCCGGACGGAAGGAGTACACTTCAAGGTGGCATTCGTCCGATATTTGGGAGAACAATTTTAGCCGGAAAAGTTTCAAGAATGTACACGAGGAAAATATTATATAGGAAAAATTACGTTGAAATTATATTTCATTCTACAGTGTTTCCTGCGAAGGAAACTGTAATAAATCGAAATTGTAATAAATTAAAAATTGTAATAAAAATTGTAATATAAATTACTGTAAAAATAGTGAAAATTTGACGACTTATCTGACATATACGATGATATACGCACGTGACATTTTAATGTCTCGGCGAAATATCGTAGATCTCTCTCGATACAGCAACTTACCGTGCCGGCGGCAATACGGTGATTGCGAAACGAATTACGCGAAAATGACATACGCGCGGATAACGTCGACGCGATCTCACTGATATTTAAAGACCAATTAATTCCGTAAAATAGGTCAATTAACACACAGATGAGTAAGAGATGAAGGTACTAATTGACAGATCGCGCTCGTATCTCCGTCGATAAATTCCGAGATGTGTAGATATCTTTTGCCGATGAGTGGAGATGAAGTTCTCGCGCAGATTTTTCTGCAATGTCGGAAGATAACGCGATCACATTTGAGGGCTGGACGTCATAGCAACGGACACAAATGCCAATTTCTTTCCAACATCGAGACGTAGCGGTACAATAATGTGTAATCATGGATCTCCTGTCTGTATGGAAAATAGTAGGTTGTACAGCACGATGACGTTTGCTTCTGTTCGCGCGGCAAGTAGCGTAGTCATCCGCGCCGCCGAGCTTCACTCTCGAAGTCATCAGACAATCGGTACGCCGACCACGGCGAAGAATCTCAAAAGCGCGTACAAGGTAACTCTCTTTATCTTGCAGAAAAGAGGAAGAGAGAGAGAGAAAGAAAAAAGTAAACAGAAATCCAGGGTCAAGGCAGCGGAGCGCGAAGGTGCGTCGTAACTTTCGCGGCTTCACGACGCCGACGTCTCTCTCTCTACGCCATTGCCGACTTCAATGCGCTTTACTCGCGCGAGTGTGTCAATGAAAGGAGTCACGGCACTGGAGCGGCTGGTGTTTCGCGTTGATGGACGGGGATTCTTGCGCAAGAGGACCTTGTCAATCATTGTGTTCGTCATTGACGATGCCTAATTATCGTGACCGTTTGAATCGATCGTTGAGCGATGTCAGTCTTCGGCTCAACCTTGCTGGGCCAGCGTGAGTTTGTATTCGTTGAAGAGAGGATTGCGAGTTCTTTTTTGTTGTTTTTTTTTCTCTTTTTTACGAGTTGTTTCCACACGAAGTAGACCCTTAATTTCCAAACGATTCCTCATCCGATTAATTTCGAGAATTTATAGATATTCGATTATCGGATTAAGAGGCACTCTGACATTTAATTGCTGCCTTCTTATGGATATTTAATTGCCGGATTAAGGAAATGTGTCTTGTGGACATATCAACTTGGAAACTTTACCGATAGAATACTGACTTATTTCCGCAAAGTTTCCGTCGTATTGGTCGTGTAAAATTACAAATGCTTTTTACCCGATGAAAAAATTATAGGAAATGGGAAATTCTTTCTTGGCGATGTAAGCTGAAGAAGACATAGAAAAGTGAAGAAAAAGGCAGAAGAATCACTTCATGAAGTTTGTAGGAAGCGTAGAGTAGAGTAATGAAACTAACAAGATGTGGAAAAACAAAAAAATTGGAGGAAAAAAGGATGACAAGGAAATAAAGAAAGCAGTGAAGAGATCGGATAGGAAAAGGCAAGATAAAGGGATAGGTGTATATAACTGAATGAATGAAGGGAGAAATAGAGTTTAAAAGATTACAGAAAAATTTCTACGCAGGGTTACTCAATGTTAGATTCTAAGATATCTCTGTTGTCTTTCATATTAGAAGAAAATATATAAGAAAGAAATTACGTAGCTGGGACGGTTGGCTGACTATAATATTTATTCTTTCCAACCACACAATTTATCTCTTACACGTTTTCCTCTAATATTAAAAAAAAAAGGAATAACAGAGATATTTTAGAATCTAACGTTAGGTGACTCACTCTGTTATATGCGGTTGTGCTCTTCGTAAATACAGTA